TATGTTAGATAATAAAAATGGAGTTTTAATATTACCTGAGTTGAGCAACAATTCTTGGGAGTACATATACATTTTTTTATCTTTATCGACAATTACAGAGTGAGTTATGAAGGGTGCTGGTTTATATTCTAACTTAAACAAAGTAACTTTATCCTTAACAATTTTATGCTACTCATATGGACATTACCATGAACTGAAAACTGTGAGAAAGTCTGAATAATTTTGAAAACAAGTTGGTTTTTGATAGGAGGAATAGTCATCAATGCTAGTTTGCAGTGCTTTAAGTAGTTGTTCTTGTTCCTTGTCCCTCAATTTCTCATCTCGGCTTCTTCTGCTTGATATGTCCTTTGAAAGGTATTTTGGACAATTTGCAAAGATACTTGGAATTACATCTGCCTTTAATTTTGGATACTTAAGGGGTACAGTAATGGTCATATCTGTCTTTTCGTCATGGAAGGTGGATTCCCAAATTATGCTGTCCTCAGCAAAGTGCAAATTGCATACTCGGGTGTTTTTTGTAACCACTAAATCACTACGAGGGATTGCATTGAGCCATCTTTTATGACAGTTTTCATTCAATGTAAACGAAAATACGTGTACCTTCGGACCCTTCCCGTAATTACCGGCACAATTAGGAACGCAGCACTTGTAAGGCATTTTGAAAACTTAGCTAAACAATCACGAGACACAAATATAAGTTTAAAGCATCAATAAATTTGAGTTTACATAGCATATAATAGAGGCTCAGAATGTGAGGTTAGTTGGCAAGGTTGCCACATATTCCAATTTTGAATGGAATATTAGACTTCACAAGTGACAGATTGAACGTAATATCGAAAATGTATTCTTGACATACTGAGGCAGATCAGAAAGAATAATCACATCATCACTGAAGCTGCGCAGGCCCCGAGTACATCTTGCAAATTCGCCCACAGAGAGGTACAACTAATTAGTAGAGATTTCGTTACTGCTATATCAAACCTAGATATGACAACACCGCAGAGAAATGGTGGCGCGATTCTCTTGCCAGCCAGGTATCGCGAAACTCCATAAGAACATGCATAGGCCTACTATGCGTGACGTCACAGGCTTTTCGGAGCCCAGTTGTTTGGCCTTGTACTCTCGGTGGTAACGGACTGGTACACGGACGGCTCGGTCACTGAAGGGGGCTCGGGTTCCGGAGTCTTTCGGCCTGGAACTATGCCACTATTTTCCAGGCGGAAATCTTTGCGACTCTGGCTTACGTCACTGTGATGCTCTGAGCAGGCAGACTTTACTGAGCTCCATCACTTTGGACCTACAGAACGTTAAGAAGCTGGGACTCAAGGCCATACTCTGCTTTTCTAAAAGGGCGAGGCTTGGAGAATCTAGAGACCTCCAATTTCATAATTCGTTCATTCATTCATGACTTCATACGCCAAAAGTGCATCGCTCATGGAAAGTGTATTTCAAATCACGTCACACGGCGGATCACCCTTAATATAAAATAGGCATTGTAAACGAGTTATTTATTGAATCGTGACGCTATTTTTAGGACAATACCATTTCCTTGGCGGTGTAGTAATCGTGGCGGCTAATCTAAAGCACCCCTAAGTAGAAGGCCGATTGCACTGGAACGAGTCAGGGCGGGGTACATAAAAGCGAAAAACCGTACGCATCGATAAAAATATCAAAGGAACAGCCTGGGTCATTTGTCAGGAGAGACAATATCTTTGAGGAATATCGACCCAGCCTTTACGGGGAAGGGCGTTGCTGTTGTTTATTCGACTTTTATTAGGCATGTTCTGGCAACGAATATCTGACGCTTGTGGACAGTTGGAAATAGATAACCGATTAATATAAAATTAAGCAACATTTTTCTTTATTAAGTTTCACGCAGGCACCGTTAATGCGACCGGATTTGAAGCAATAGTATCACAACAGAGAATCTGAATTTTAGTTAATCCCAAACTGCCTGAGCCTGCTAGTGCTGCCTGAAGAGTTATCCAATTCGGGGACAACGATAAAATACTCTTTATATTCTTCTTCTTCTTCCTACTTTATCAATAGGCTCATGCCTGTTTTAATTCGGTTTTTATCCTCAATTGATGTTGTCTGTCCATCGTTTCCTCGGTCTTCCCATTGATCTTCTTCCATTTGGCGATTTGTGTCCTGTTATTCGTACTGTTCTATTTTCTGTCATTCTTTTTATGTCTTTTCGTACTGTTCTATTTTCTGTCATTCTTTCTATGTCTTGATTCCATTCTATTTTTCTTCATTTGGTCCACAGGTTTATTTCCTCTATACCACATTTCGTGGTATTTCCTCACTTCTTACTCTGTCTCTCAGAGTTTGGTTTGTTATTTTTCATAAGACTTTCATTTCTGCTATTTCCAATAATCTTTGTGTGTTTCGCCGTATCTGCTCTTGTTTCCGATGTGTACGTCATTATCGGTCATATTGTCGATTTATATATCCTAGTTTTCGTTTCTATTGTGAGGTATTTGTTTCTCCAGATTGCATTGTTGAGACATCCTGCTGCTCTGTTCGCCATGTTCACTTGTTTTTGTACTTCTTCTTCCAGTTTTCCATAGCTTGACAGTTTGATTCCCAAGTATTCCGTTTCCATCACTTGTTCTATTATTTTCTTATTTATAACCAGTTCACATCGTGTAGGTTCCGCTGATATCACTATCGATTTTTCTCTGTTGAAATCACCATGTTGTATATGAGCGCCGTATCTTCGAATTCTTTAATTAATCTTTGTAGGTCATCTTCATTTTCGGCTATTATTATGGCGTCGTCGGCGTAGCATATTATCTGCATTTCCCATTCTGTACCCTCTTCTTTTTTTAACTTTCTTTATGATTTCATCTATTATCAGATTGAATATTAGTGGGCTCAGCGAATCTCCTTGTCTAATGCCAGTTTCATACTTGATAGGTTGCGAGAGTTTTCCTGTACATCTTACCATAGCTATGTTATCTTTATATATATTCTCAATTGAGCCGTATTCATAAAAGAGAAGCATATCCCCGGAAGCATAACGTAAAAGTATAAGGTCTTGCTTCGGAGAAAAAGGTAGCAGTATGAGCATACATAATGATTACCTTATACTCGCGAGGATATCCTCCAAGAAGAAGTAAAAGGTTGACTGGTATTTGTATCTTGAGCGACATGTCCTGACTTGTTCCAGCTTGTAGTTGATGTGGGAGTTCGTTCACTCAGCATCACTGGCAGTTGTACTCCAGAGCTTACACAGACCGATCCGTATTTTTACTGGATACAGTTTTTTATCAAGTTAATAAGCATGTCAACTTCAAGTGATGAGGAAGCTATAGAAAATAATGGCAACGACCTGCAGTTCATCGCAGATGAAATTGCCATCGCTCCCATTATTTTACAAAAGTTACAAGTTCCAAAAATAAAATGAGAAAGGACGATACCTTGAAGAAGATGTTGAAAAAATACGAATCAGCATTCGGTAAACCATTAGATACTAAAGGCTTATTAAAAAAATCAACAACATGAATTCAAGAGTGAAGAAAAAAACAGATCTAAAAAAAACTGATAATAAAGCAATTAAATTGTTAGATTGGGAAAGAAAGTTGCTGAAAGGTGACTGTAATTCTACAATTGGGAAAATTAGAGGTGCCATTCAGGTTAGTAGTGTTCAAGAAGAAGGAAGTAAACTATATACCGAGCGCAGTAAGCAAACAGTTAGTATTACAGCGACAGCAATTCAGGAGACATTGCCACCAAAAAGAAAATTAGCAACAGAGAAATACGAAACTGAGGAAACCAAGAAGTTAACTACACAAGAACTGCAACGTCTAGTGCTATTACAGCAGTACCAAACAAGTATTTTACAACAAGGCTACCGTACAGCGGTGTTACTTTACCATTCCAGGTTACTTTGAAAAGAGTTGCATTTTCCGATAAAAAAATTCGCGCGTGAGAGTTGGCAACACTGGCGACCACGTGCTTCAGGAATCTGCTCGCTCAAACTAGTTGACAACAGGTATTCGAACGGTTAATAAACGTATCATTCACAAAAGAGCGGTGGTGTTTATGTTAATAAATGGTGAGAAATTTACATTTTTTTAAACCCTGAATGCTAAGGGTTGTACCAGATACATGTTTAATACTAGAGGCATGTTATTATTATTTACTTGTAGGGTATTTATTTGCAATAAAAAATTGTAAAAAAATAAGTCGAAAACCTAAATGATTTTTAAGGTAGAGTTAAAAATATAAAAATATGTAACCCTGCAGGTTACTTTGCCAATTAAAAAAAATAATAAATTGCAGCTTTTAGGATCTTTTTTTTTGTTTTAAGGATGAGACAATGGGTCGGGTGTAAAAAAAAAGTTGAGTACAAGAACCTATAGAAATTACACTCAAGAGACGTTAAAAAATGCCTTAGAAAGTATCAAACGTAAGGAACTAAGTCTCCAGGAAGCTGCTGATCGGTACAAAATACCTAGAAGGACGCTATGGAATAAACTTCATAATAGTTTTATTTTTAAGAGCTAGGTAAAGGGTTCCTTGTGTTTTTTGTTCCTCTTCATATTAGAGAGTTCCTTTGGATACTTTGTATGCATTGTTTAGATTAGTTACCATAATATAGGTCTTTTTATAGGTACTCACCTACCTATCCAAATATTTTTCAAAAGAAAAATGTCTCTATCAGTAAGTTTAGTTAAGTTAATAAGCTACTTTTGATATTGTACACTGAAAGACTGAAGTTTATGGGTATTTTTGTATGTTTCTTAAAGAATCAACGTTGTTTTTTAACATTGTTTTGTTTTTTCGGTAAATTTTTTTTTAAAAAACTTAAATTGGCGGCAAAGTAAACTATAGAGAGGCTTAAGTTGACACCACGGTCAGTTTAAAGAGCAGTGGCAAAGTATCACCGATGTCCGGGTAACTTTGCCATTTTTATTTTTTATTATTAGTTGTGATCTAGTCTGTGAATTTCTCCATATTCTGGAATCATACACTGATCCAGGCCAACTGACATCAACACTTGTGAACATCTCTATGGCATCACAAGTGGCTTGCACATTTAAAGTAGGTTTCCCTTTTCGGTTGATATACTCGTCTCCATGGCGATTTGGTTTCAAGATCCCTATATGTGTACATCCAGTTTCACCAATTGCTGTCGGAAATTTATACATGCTTCGCCATATTCGCTTGGCCTCCATCAGTTCATGGTTGGTAGTTGGAAACTTGATCCATTCGTTCGACTGTACAACTATGCTGTTTACGACTCTATCCACAGTCCGAGATACCGTTGCTTGACTAACACCAAGTTCCTGACCAATACCTTGTTGATATCCAGAGTCACCGAGTATCGTAGACATATCTTCATTTTGTGAATACATGAAAGTGCTCCTCCTCGAGTTTCCTCATTCTCAACTAAAAATCTGCCCGCAAACCATTGTACATTTGCTTCGTCGAACCAATTTATTCAATTCTGCATGACTATACTAAGTGACATATAAATCCGAACACCCAGTTTAAATGGTTTTATTTTAATAAAATTTTGTATAAGTACTTAATGAAGCATAATAAGTAAATGTTCAAAATGATGGCACTGCTTTAAAGCCCTTTGAACTTTAATAATGTGTGGATGCACCCTGATGTGCTACGCATTCTCCAACGCGCCTAGGCATGCTTCTGATCAGGTGGTCAATGTCTTCCTGTGGTATCTCATTCCAGGCAACCACCAACTCCTCTCGAAGTGCTTCTAGAGTCTGAGGAGGACGTTGCAAATTAAGCAATCTCCTACCCATCATATCCCACCCGTGCTCAATTGGGGATAAGTCGAGAGATCTTGGTGGCCATGCTAACAATGTGACATCATTATGTTGAAAGAAGTCTATTGTGACTCTTGCAACATGTGGTTGGGCATTATCCTGTTGGAAAGTTGGATCTGCCAGGGTGTCAAGATAGGGTAAAAGATGGGGATCTAGAACTTTGTTGATATAACGCTGCGCGTTCATGTTACCTCTGATGAAGATTAAAGTTGACCTGGAACCATAAGCTATAGCACCCCAAACCATAACTCCAACAGTGTGATGAACATGTCTTTCAACAAAAAACTGTAGATTCCTCCTTTCACCACGTCGCCTTCTAACCCTGGCACGACCATCGTGCATGCCTGTTCCATTCCTGATCCCAGAGTGACCGTTGTCTGCACCACTCAAGGCGATTACGTCGGTGTTCTCGAGTTAAAGGGAGGACCCAGTGTGGCCGGTATGAAAACAAGCCAAAACTTCTCATTCGTCGGTAAACACTTCGCATGCCAATAGGTCTTCCGTGTTCTGCAAACCATTCATTTGCAATGGACCTGGTAGTGGAGAAACGGTCCCTTAAGGCCAATAATCTTAGGCGGCGATCTTTACGGTCTGTTGTTCTACGGCGGCGTCCAGTGCCCCTTGCTCTTTGCGTACGGCCTTCTCGAACCCATGCCTGACCATACCTAACCACAGTGTCTACACTTCTTTGCACTCTAACTGCAATTGCCCGAAAAGAAAGTCCAGCTTCCCGAAGTCCCACTATACGGCCCCTATCAAACTCACTAAGTTGACGAAATCGTACAGGTCTCCGTACTCTAGGCATCGTAACCGATCGTAAAGGATCTCAAGAACCAAAATCCGCCAACGTTGATTCTTTACTGCGGCTGAAATATTCATTTTTAGAGCGTTAGTGAATTAAAAAAAAACAGTATAAAAACCGGAATGTCCAGCTGATAAGGCTGAAAATTTTTTCACTTGTTATTTACAGTAAGATAAATACATTCACCAACTTGTATTAAAATAAAACCATTTAAACTGGGTGTTCGGATTTATATGTCACTTAGTATATTTACACGTAAGGAAACTCTTTGTTCTCTCTGGGTACCGCATAGTCTGTCGGAATAGCAGAAGACGACTTGGTGCCGAAAGTTGCTGAAAATGTTTCATAAGGGGCAATCTCGGTATGTGAACAGGTGGCAAGACTCTATTATTACGATGTGCCGGCCAAGCCTCAAAACAAAGTATGGGACTTTGTTGATGAGGACACACGAGCAGCTATCAGAAAATCTGGACACACAGAAGACAGTCACTGCTAAGTGGTACATGGAACAGTACCTGCTTAAAGTCATAGAGTCTATGAAAAACCTGCGGCCAAAGTCAAGAATGGACTCTTGGTGCCTCCACCATGAGAACGCTCCAGCTCACCACGCCAAAGCCTGTATTTGACCACTACTGGACTGAAACTTATTGAGCACTCTTTGTATATAACCAAACATAGCACGAGCAACGAGAGCTGTGCAAATCTAAAATATGTGGAGTGGAATACGCGTTGAAGAATCGGTAAATTGTTGATCTAGAAATTTATTAAAACTTCTTTGATCTGGCTATCTAGCCAAATGTGAACGAAATTGTACAGAAGGGTTTATACATATATATTCTTTAGAGTGAATGCTAAGACTCCTCATCTACTAATAAAGAATGCTGGGTATCTTTTATTTTAAACTTTGAAGGTAGAAGTCTGTTGAACAACTGAAAAAGTAACGAAAACACCTTCAAAATGAGAACTAATGGGTAGCTCCAGTTTCGGTACAACGGGTTATTCCAAAAAAATCTTTCTTTTTTCCCCGAAAAGTGCATGAGAGTAAATATGAAATAGTAGCCAAAGCATTTGTAGTGAATAACATAAACAAAAACTTCAAAATTGCTCAATCAATGAAACATAGAGGGTGAGTTTTAAGTTTATAACTAACATAGATTTCAACTAATCTAGCTTATGGGGAACCCTGTACATGAAAAATTTAATTATGTTCCGTCCTCGTCGAAGTAAATATTTAGAATACATATCGTAGTACCCTCGTAGTAGTACCCAACCGCCACGATTTCAAAGCGCGCACGCAGAGAAGGAAAACGGCACCGCGCCCCTTCTCCCTACCTTTCTCCCCTCTGGCCGCCTATAAAGCTTCATTTACTTCAAAGCCAAGATGTTGCAACAATTGGGTGATACATAGGGAGAGAGGGAGCTATTTACTCCGACGAGACCTTCATATGATTAAGATCGAACATCACTTGCAGGTAAGTTCGTTTGCTCATGTAATTATTGCGGAAAATGTTCTCGCCATTTAATTTTTGCCGAGCTAGGGACAAGCGAGGCAGCTGACACACCTCTCCCCTTCCCGCTACGCCCTTGTCATCCACGAATTGCTCCGTTACCAATTTTAACAGTGAAATTGCAACTCTCCCGGCGAAACGATTCACACTTTCGAGTGAATTTCATAAAATACGAAAATGTGAAAGCACGCAAGTGACATATAAATCCGAATACCCAGTTTAAATGGTTTTATTTTAATAAAATTTTGTATAAGTACTTAATGAAGCATAATAAATAAATGATAAAAATTTCAAAATGATTGCACTGCTTTAAAGCCCGTTGGCCTTTAATAATGTGTGGATGCACCCTGATGTGCTACGCATTCTCCAACGCGCCTAGGCATGCTTCTGATCAGGTGGTCAATGTCCTCCTGTGGTATCTCATTCCAGGCAACCACCAACTCCTCTCGAAGTGCTTCTAGAGTCTGAGGAGGACGTTGCAAATTGAGCAATCTCCTACCCATCATATCCCACACGTGCTCAATTGGGGATCTTGGTGACCATGGTAACAATGTGACATCATTATGTTGAGAAGTCTATTGTGACTCTTGCAACATGTGGTCGGACATTATCTTGTTGGAAAGTTGGATCTGCCAGGGTGTCAAGATAGGGTAAAAGATGGGGTTCTAGAACTTCGTGGATATAACGCTGCGCGTTCATGTTACCTCTGATGAAGATTAAAGGTGACCTGGAACCATAAGCTATAGCACCCCAAACCATAACTGCAACAGTGTGATGAACATGTCTTTCAACAAAAAACTGTGGATTCCTCCTTTCACCACGTCGCCTTCTAACCCTGGCACGACCATCGTGCATGCCTAAACAAAATCGAGACTCGTCACTAAAGACAATACTGTTCCATTCCTGATCCCAGAGTGACCGTTGTCTGCACCACTCACGGCGATTTCGTCGGTGTTCTCGAGTTAAAGGGAGGACCCAGTGTAGCCGGTATGAAAACAAGCCAAAACTTCTCATTCGTCGGTAAACGCTTCGCACGCCAATAGGTCTTCCGTGTTGTGCAAACCATGGACCTGGTAGTGGAGAAACGGTCCCTTAAGGCCAATAATCTTAGGCGGCGATCTTCACGGTCTGTTGTTCTACGGCGGCGTCCAGTGCCCCTTGCTCTTTGCGTACGGCCTTCTCGAAGCCATGCCTGACAACACCTAACCACAGTGTCTACACTTCTTTGCACTCTAACTGCAATTGCCCGAAAAGAAAGTCCAGCTTCCCGAAGTCCCACTATACGTCCCCTATCAAACTCACTAAGTTGATGAAATCGTACAGGTCTCCGTACTCTAGGCATCGTAACCGATCGCAAAGGATGTCAAGAACCAAAATCCGCCAACGTTGATTCTTTACTGCGGCTGAAATATTCATTTTTAGAGCGTTAGTGAATTAAAAAAAGGCAGTATAAAAACCGGAATGTCCAACTGATAAGGCTGAAAATTTTTTCACTTGTTATTTACAGTAAGATAAATATATTCACCAACTTTTATTAAAATAAAACCATTTAAACTGGGTGTTCGGATTTATATGTCACTTAGTATAGTCGTTACTCCGGCCGCCCCGCTGATGCAGACGTATGTTTTTTCCGCGTTTAAAGCAATTGCCGCATCTGATTGTATCAGCATATTTACGTATCAAACATGTGTATAATCATTAATCGATGGTATAATCCGACAAAACGAGAATCGATATCAGTCTGAAACAAGGTAATATCGATGAACAGGTCAGGTCATTACAGTAATGAGGGAAATACACGTAGATATACTTTATGGATATGCTTTTTATGAGAATTTTACCCTAAAGTTGTTATGTACATAACCATATGGATTTTATAACTACTGTTATCTGACTGTCGAGCTATATTTTATTTATACGCTGACATAAGTATAATGATACCTTTTCATGATAAAAAGTATAGAGAAGTTATTTTAATACAACCTCAAATTACTGTTTTCGTATGTTTATGTATCCGGGTTCTTATGTATTGTAGCGTTTTTCTGGGTTCTTTTAGGTGTGGATGAAAACACTGGATTCCACAAAAAGAAATGCACTATACTCTGGGCGCTGAAGAAAGACATTAAACGTAAACAGTGATCAGCACGTGAACAGATCCCTCGAAAGCATCCACGGATATACTCCAGTCACTTTAGGTCTAAACATCCTCGGCAGTGTATTTCTAGTGAATCCAC